AAAAAATAAGAAGACAAGATAAGGATGATAAAAATCGCTTTCAAGAAAATTTAGATTAAATACAGGAAGCTCACTATTGCAAAATGAAACAACAAAATGCGTTTTTATCAGAGACATATACAGCTACAACATTCCTTTCTTCTTTCCTTTTTCTTTTCTTTTCGCTTTTTTTTAATGTGATAGTGTAACTACATTCTTAATACTTAAAGAACATTAATAAACGCGAAAAATATTCATTAGAAACAGTTTGGGAGAACTATTTGAATAAATGACAATTTAATCCTTAAGGTCTTGTATATTGGCATTTCGTATTTCTTAATTGCGCAATAGCTTCTGAAAAATCATTCCTGATTACAAAAAGTATTCGTTTGGGCTGTAGATTATTTTAAAATGTTCGTAAGAACATGAAAAATATTCATTATGAATAATATTCCATATAAACAGTTCTCCTGAACTGTTTTGATAACATTCCAATTTAGACCTCAAACAGAATATGTACAAAGTAGATGTGTGCGTGTGTGAGTGTTTGATAGCGTGTTAGTGTGTGAGAGAGGAAGCATTTCTGCACAGCTGCCGTCCAATCTTTGAATCGTTCTATTTTGCAATCAAGAAAGTGAAAACTTTGAAAAGTAAGAAAATATATAACTAAGACACTGCACAAATGGAATCACTTACAGGAATGGCCGGGTCAAGAGTTGCACCACCAATAAGTGTCCCGTTTTGGAAATTGAAGGGATAAACTTCCTTCCCAAACTTATGCTCACGATCACTTGTCCATGCAATGCCCTTCCGGTTGACTTTCAGCTCATTTGACCAGCGGGAAAAAGAATATGTGTCGTTAAATAAGCTCCAAGCAATCAGACCACACGGTACAACAGGAAGACCGTGATTAATATCTTCAGGTGCACATGAACTTGTATCGTGATGTTTTAGACCATGCATGAGTTGTCGATCATCACGACTTTTGACGTACCTTGATTGAACAAAATAAAATTGAAAATCAATAATACATCACACTTTTCACATTAAAAAATAAAAAGGAAAGGAAAAATATCTGCACATAATATGACACGATTAGGAGTAGGGCTGCAAACGAGTCGAGCCGAGTCGAGTATGGACTTTGTCGAGCGTAGATCGATTTTTTTTTTTTTTTTTTTCATTGCTCGAGCTCACACTTTTCACATTAAAAATAAAAAGGAAAGTAAAAACATCTGCACATAATATGACACTATTAGGAGTAAGGCTGCAAACGAGTCGAGCCGGGTCGAGTATGGACTTTGTCGAGCGTAGATCGATTTTTTTTCATCGCTCGAGCTCGAGCTCGTGAAACAAATGGAAATGCTTGAGATCGACTCGAGTTTGGCAAGAATTTTAACAACTACAAATTATGCACCTATGACAATTATGTAAATTACATATAGGGTAATTAAGTATTTTACCGCATATTTCGAGCCGCTCGACGAGCGGCTCGACCTTTGAAGATATAGGCTCGAGATCGACTCGTTAACATACTCGAGTCGAGCTTTGACTCAAGCGCTCGCGAGCGGCTCGTGAGCCGCTCAACTCGTTTGCAGCCCTATAATTTGGAGGCAATATACGCGCAAGCCAGCTAGAAATTCAAGGTAAATTTACAACTGAACAAGAAAACACAGAAAAGACAAAAAAAAAGAAAAAAGAAAAAAATTTAGGGGATGCTTGTTTATAAAACCAATCCAAAAAAATCCAATCATTTTTAACTCAACCACTTTTTTTTAACTCAACTTTAACTCAACCCATTATCATCAATATACTTAAATAATATCAATCAATCAACCCAACCCACTATCATAAATATTATCAATATAATTAAATAATATCAATCAATCATTCTTACACACAACATCAACCTTAATTTACTATTCATCTACTCACATAATTTTAACTAACCATCACATCACAACTTCTCTTTCCTACTTTTACATCAATTTGATTTTAATCATTTATTTTAAAAATTATTTCAATATACCCACTAAGTCACTAACAATTAACCATACCAACTTTTTCAAATTTAACCAACCAAAACCAAAAACCCAATCAAAACCAAAAAAAAAAAATTATAAACAAGCATGCTCTTACCGCCTATGGTTCTGGTAGTAGTTATCAAGCTGGTAATACACGTATATTGGAGCTTTCATTGGCTTGGGGATCTATATACAAGATTTCAAAGGGCAGGTTAAATATGAGATCTTCATTTTCCTTGTAAATCAGAGGAAAAAAAAAAAAAAATAGAACCTATCAAAAGCAAGTTAAATATATGAATAGTAAACAAGAAACATCTAAATATGTGATAAGGGGAAAATATAAATTGCTCTAATTTGAATTCCAAATTCGAATGCAGTGTTCCCCGTAGGAGGATGAACACGAGTCATATCAATCATATCAAATTGGTTCAAACAAATGCCATATCTCATTTATATTCAAGATTCAAAACTATTGCCAAGTGAAAAATAACACCTTGATGGATTTCGAGCAATTCTTTGGTATCAGATCATTTTGTATGTATGCCAGCTTGTTTCCTCTAAACTGTTCTGGTAAGCAATCGACGTCATATCTGTACACAATCTCAACAACCTGCATACAGAATGCCAATTGATACTTCGATAAAAATTTATCCATGACTTCTATAATATGAAGCACACTTCAATGCAAAAAATTCAAAAAAAAAAAAAAAAAAAAAAAAAAAAAAAAAAAGAAAAAAGAAAAAAAGTAAAAGCTAATGATTTACGCTTTCTGAAGCATGAAGGGAGACCATCCCCACCGGAATAAAGATCGATCCCACCACAAAAAACACAGATATTACCTGTCGAAAACACAGCTCCATCGATGAAACATTGATAAGCCATTAAACTAGTCGATAGGTAACTCGATTGATTAATGTATCAACTATAAGTGTCAGTAATTTGCTCACCCACGCAGGCGAGAGGACGGGCTTACAAGCCGGTAGATTTTGCTGAGTAAACTGGTGCAAGACTGCCAAACAGCAATAACAACCCCAAGTAAGCAAAACCCATTATCATTTAATTCTAAAGGACCCTCCCAACAAAACCCCATTGCCAATATTTCAACTTGGAGATGAATTCGAGGACTGTGTTTATAAATCTACATCAGATACAGGAAGAACAGCTACAAAACGCAATTTGGGGGCAAGAGAACTTACATTTGGAGCGGCCATGTTCAAGAGACACTGAATTAGTTTCAGTTTCAGCTGGCGATGAACCCCTCCCATACATTTCCATTGAATTTAAAGCTTAGCAACTAATTTGTATACGCAGATTCTCAGATTCAATTGCGAAAAGGGGATGAGGGAGAGTAGGAACACGCGCGCGCGCACGAAAACACACACAGACACGAAGCTGTGGAGCTAACAGATGATAGAGGAAGATTTATGCGGCGAACAAATGAATTATGCGGAGAGAATTTGAGAAATTCGATCTTGGATTTTCTCCATGATTGTGGAATTTGTTGTTCAAAAGTGAGTTTGTTGAGCAGAGAAAACGATGATAATATTTATTTTTGTCCATTTTAATTATACACTAATAATTAATTGCATTTAAAATCCAAAAATTTTGTGTAATTGCAAATAAAATTCAATTTTTTCAATTTGACCTTTAATAAGTATTGCAATTGTGTCTTACCCGCCGGACCGCCGCCAACTGACACCCGCCGCTGGTCAACTTCGTCGGATGTTAAAAAATATTTACATAATCTTGTAGCTCTCCTCCGTGCCGACAATATATCCGAGTTTACGAAAAAATTCCGACGATAAGGCTTCCAATTTTCCTGTCAAAATCGTAGATCTTCAAATTTTATTTGGCGTTCTTTTGCAAATTTCCGGTGACTCGTTTTGACCCATGTGAATCCGAAGGTACCCATTGAACTCCTCTAGCAAAGTCGCATCTTCCACCTTCGCGGGAACCGGTGACTTTTTCGAGCGATGACTTTTTCGATCATCTTATTCAAGGTTTGGTATGGGCGGAAACTGATTTTGAGACACAATTGCAATACTTTTTAAAAGTTTGGTATTTTTTTTGCCAAATTAAAAAAGTTGAATTTTATTTACAATTACACAAAAAAATATGATTTTAAATGCAATTAACCCTACTATATTTGGTCATTAATTAATCACACACCTTAAGAGACTATTTACCATAATCAACAATTCCAAGATTTATGTTGGGGCAAATTTAAAGTATGATATTTAAAAATATAAATATACACACTATGTTTGGTAAAATTAGCTGATATGCTAGCTTATAGCATATCAGTAATTTTTGAACTTATAGCTTACAATTTATGACTTATAGTTGAAAAATTAGCTTATATAATAAAAGTGTTTGGTAAATTAGCTGAAATAAAAATTTCAACGAGCTTATTGAGAAGCTACGAGCTTATTTGAGAAGCTACCCAAATAAACTTATCAAATAAGCTCCAGCTTTTTAAAAAAACTTGTCTTACCAAACAGCACTTATTTCCATACATTGAGTTTATAAGCTGACCAAATAAGTTATAAGCTAACTAATTTGTCTACGAAACATAGGCTAAAAACCAATATAATTTATTATTTTTATACATACAATATGGATGTTAAATCAAAGCCCGTCAATAAATGATTAATTTGGTATATTATAATGTAAAACTAATAAAAAATATAAAATTTATAAACTTTTAAAATAAATTTACAATCTATACTTATATAAAAAGTCATCTCATTTACTAGAATTAGTATGAAGAAAAGTCAACTCATAATTAATTGCACACCATATTTAGAAAGTTTTTAAATTTTTTAAATCATAAAATAGGGTAGCATTAAATGCCCCTAAAATTATGGATTTTGTTGAATTCATTTTTAATAAAATCTGCATCCAAATTTACGTGTGGTTTTGAAGTGAAAATTTGAAATTCAAAATCTCTTCTCATTTTAGTTACAAGAAAATCGGATTACTTTCAACACTTAGACCAATATAAAATTATTCTTTAATCAAAGGAATTTATAGATAATTGTTATCTCTAATCAATCACATGATTATTTTCAATATAAAAAGACACTGATTACAAATTAGTGAATCATATATTACCTAATTCAAGATCTTAACATTAAGGAATAAACCCATAGTATTATGTAAATCGTATCTCATATTATTATATCATTAAGAATATATTATAGTTATATTATCAAATCATATAATGATATTAAATCCATATTTTAAAAAAAGATCATATAATTTTATAGCAATTCTACTACACTATTTAACAATATTTCTCTTTATTATATAATAAAATAATAATTAAATATTATATGATGAACAAGAATAATAAAACTGTTACTTTCTCTTGTATGAATGGGATAAATTTATATGCTAAAATTAAATTTTTATTAGTATAAATGTTTTAGTGAAATAATATATTAATTATTTTACAAGTTAGCCCTAACATGCTCATATTTAATGTTCTGGCTAAAAATACACTGGTTAAAAATACACTTGTAACCTTATTGTTTTTTAGACTTAACGTTGATTAAAAGAGATAGAAAATAGATAATAACCATATTACTCTTTAGACTTAAACGGACAAGACTGTGAAAATAACTCATTTAATATCTTTGTTCGTGTATCGCACGAGATACGTACTAGTTCAATGGTTATAATAAGAAATGCTATTAAAATGTAATTAATTCATGTAATATGACCATAAATAGTCAACATATTTCAAGATAATCCGGATCTAATTATTTTTGGATTGGAAGTGAGATTAAAATATATTCAAACCTAATAACGAAGTATGTAAGTTTGCCACATAGGATCCCGAAGCATTTGAGTCTGCCACTTAATCTCAACAATGGAAAAATAAAAAATTCTCTCCCCTCCATTCCCCTCCCCTCCCCTCCCTTCCCCTCTCTTCTGTTTCCCGAACCAAACATAGGCTAAGAAAAGAATCTCTCCCTCCATTTTTGGATCTAATTATTTTTGTATGCATTTATTATTACTATATTTTTATTGGTTGTTCAGTATTCTAGACCTAGTATTTTGTTGTTTTGCATTGGATAGATTTTTAATTTTTTAGCTTGAGTTTGTCGATGTCATTATGGACTTAAGTCTATTTATTTGCCACATATGCAAAAAGAGACTCAAAGCACTGTTGGTGCTCTTAATGTATTTACACCTATCCAAATTGTATTTATTGCAGGACACGTGTCAATACATTATTGATAAATAAACGTAGATGACTCCATAATAAAACTGGTCTTGTCAATTGTCATTTTTATTACATTTATTTAAAAACCTAGTAAATTTGGCTTGTTTAGCCAAAAAAATGTAGAAAAGTCCCATTCACCCGAGGTAAAATTTCAAAAGCTGTTCACTTACAGTTTGTACTGAACTAATACAGCATCAATGTTGATTTACAAATATTTTCTAGCCTCCCTAGTTAGAAATTTTTCTTTCTTTGTTTTTCTCTAATCCCAAGCAAAATACCATAAGATGGCGATTGCCATGGTGATTGCAATTTACAGCAAAAGCAGACAGTGAAAATCGAACGAGACACAATTCCCAGATTCACTTCGCGAACCTATCGAAGGTGATGGCTAATCTGATCACTTGGCCCGCCAATTATCTTCCCAAACACCCTCTCGACCGAAGGCCCCATCTCGTGAACCAACCTAACAGATTCCGAGAGCCGATTGAGCAGATTTATCAATGCGATCACTTCATTCCTTTGCAGTTGCAGCTGAGAACACAGCCAATAATTCGACTCAAGTCGTGAAAAACATAGATAAGAGTAATATTTAATATTATTTATCAACAACCGGGATGGATTAATCTCTGTAAGTTGCTTCTGTTGGAATGGAATTTGTTTGATCATTTCAGGAAAAAGAAAAAAGAAAAAAAAAAAAAAAACGACAATGTAAGCATAGGCATTATGATAAACTTACACGTGGGATGGATGATGGTTCGTGGCCATTTTCCGAGAATAGAATTTTTAATGCTGTCCCGAGACCTAGAATTTGAAGCTTCCCCCACAAACGACACTTTTCACATCCCACGCAGTCCATCAAGGCACTGCAATTTTTTGAAATAACAAAGCCAAGTGAGAAGAAGTCATTTATAAGGAAATACAATAACACCAAAGTACAGTTTGGATATTTCTTTGTAGTCAGTTTTAATAGGACAATCAAAAAAAAGGAGAGGAAAAAAAAAAAAGAATTACTGAAATAAAAAATAAAAAAAGTAAAATAAAAAGAGAACCTTATATTTCTAAACTGATTTTGTATCTGTTTTATAAGTTCCGGTCCATTCTGGCCTTTCCACAATTTAGCTTCATCAAAGGGTTTGGGGCAAGCAGCTTGAAGTTTGTGATCGAAAAGCAGCTTCTTCATCAAAAGCTCCGTAGTTTGGTCCTCCAAATCATGACCCGTGTCATAGTCAGCCTGCTCCAAGTAATCTGCTGCCTAGCATTGACCAACCAAGGCTTAACATTAAATGAAAGATAAAATTAAAATAACCAAAAAGGATAAAGACTCCAAAGCTAAAAAAACTCACTCACTTTTGTCACGGATCGAAGGACGAAAAGAAACGTGAAGTACAAGTTCCTGACACGATCCGGGTACTTCAAGACTCGATCATACATTAATGACAGGTTTTGGCCCCACTGCATCACAAACAAACACAAATTTATTTCTTGTGCAAAATCAATGGAACTTAACATGGACAGTTTGGCAAATCGCAATCTATACTACCTCTGTATGTGGTAAGCGTTTACTTAAGTACAAGTGCACTACAAGCCACTTAACAAGAAGGATGAAAGAAATTGAGACTGTACCATGTTCGTTTTCTCGTCAAGCAAGTAATCAGCAGCAATGTGAATTGAGATGGATGAGTGAAGACCAGATATCAACTTGTAAAGTATTCTTTTCTCTTGGCACTCTCCTGATGGATCTACAGGAGCAATTCAATTATGTATGTCAATGATCAGATACGTCCACCCAATATTAAAAATAAGACTGGAGAAAAAAAGACCAGACATAGATAAACCATTAGACTACAGGAAATACTTCCTAATATCATCTCTCAAAAACCAACCTAATGTCCAATAAATTTTAGAACCGAAAATCTATTGACTTACATTTGAGGCAGTTCTCAAGATAAACAGCATCCCATATTCTTCTTGCAGATGGGCCCGTGTACCCAGTGTAGCGTTCGGGGTTCAGTTGTAGATTAACATACGTCATTTCAGCTGCACAAAAAATTGCATTAGGTCAAACGGCATTTAAGAAAAATGAGATTTGACCTGCTTACTGAGTAAGAAGAGAGGAGATCTTTTCAAATCTATCACAGGAAGGAAATATACGCGGTACATGCTACAAGAGAGAGTTTAGGTCAAATTTGTTTATTTCAGTTTTTTCTTTTTTTTTTTTTTTTCTCAAAGAAAATGAATATAGCCAGGAATTAATGGGCACCGTTATCCGTCTCGTCATCGTTTGTCCACGGATTATCTACTTCCATCCAGCCTTTGAAAGCTTTATCATCTATAGTACGATCCACAGCAGCCTCCGGCTTTCCCTCTTGACAGATTAGATTATCCGATGAAAGGCCATTTCCAGAAGGCATCCGGAATGTTTCTGGAAATTCATTCTCGGGGCACTCGCAAACACTGCAGTCCCTCAAGCGGCACATACCATCATCAGGCCAGAAAGGGCAATCACACCACAACTTGACCTATTGCAATGAATACGTATCAGGAACTAGCAAAACCATTAAGGCTTTAACATACTGTGACTGAACGGCAAAAATGGGATACTCAGGAAACTTTACAATTATTTCCGGTAGCTCCAGAAAGAAAGACTACTACAAGTCCAGATTTTAACTTGCTAGCTCTATCAGAAGATAATAAAGTAACCGGAAATACGCAAAAGTGCCACATTTTCTTTGTGTTTGCAAAATGCCACCCTTGTCTTCAAACCAAGACAACGACTGACAATTACTGACATTACGATAAAACGAAGTATTTTTGCAAAAATGAAGTGAAGAGATGTCATTTTAGCAAATTTACCATACTGAATAAATAGGAGCAACATCATAGAGGTAACTAACAAAAAATGAATGCTAATCAAGAGAAAGTATTCCCTTACAAAGCCGAAAACTGTTTAAAATGACAGAAATACAGCATTACAACTGTACAAGGTAAATAAAGCATTAATTGAAACTATAAACAAAAGACGCAAAAGAATTTAAAAAGAATCTAACTATACAAATGAAAAGAATCAATCACTTCCAATTTCAACATATATGTAGCAAAAGACAGTCTATGATTCAGCTGCATAACTATATGCCTAAATAATTTATAAAAACAAGGCTGTAACGAAATTTCGACACCTTAAAGTACCGGAAGAACGGATATTTCACAATTTGTTGGAGCAATGGATGCAAAACCAGGCCATTGATGCGATCCACGGTCTCATAATCACAACAACAGTCCTCCACAAGACCATGGTACTTTAGCCCTTCCTACATATACAGATAAACATCCATGAATCAGAGAACGATCGAAAAACCATGATCAGCCCAATATTTCTAACTAAAATGTCAGGAGAAAAACCAGATTCCTGCCCATAACCAAATAAAAGAGAGAATAAAATCACAAAACCCTAAAAATCAGACCTAACACTTCAATACCACCTCGTCCACTCAGGAAATGGGCAATAACAGTAACAAGCTAACTAGAATCGCGGAATGAGTCTAAACTTATTATACCCATCGTGCAAAATATTTATCAAAAAAACACAAAAAGACAAAGCAGTGAAACCTCGGAACAGTAACAGCTCTTGATTCGATGAATGAAAGAGGTGACCGGAGAATTTCTTGGGACGAACGCGACGGATATCAGAAGAACGACGGCGGCGCCGACGAAAAAACAACTCCGTCGATTACTTCGCTTTTTCGTTTCGATTCCGGAATCCGCCATTTCACGGCGATGAAATCTACAAAACTCTCAACGATTATGAAACGTTCTGATTGGATTTTTGTTCCCAATTTGTACGAAATGAATGCGCTGTGCATATATAAGCCGAGGCCCAACTGTACGAATTGGTGGGAATCGGAGAAAAAATGAAAAGAGAGGAAGAAGCAAGTTGGAAGGAAGGGAAAAATGCGGGCGGTTGCCGCTGGTATTTTGGAACTTACTTCATATGTTTCTATATTAGTATTGATTTTTTTTTTTTTTGGTTGACTTATTTATTTAAATTCTGTTAAATAACTGACTCAAGTGGTAAGCAGCTTAATGTACCTTAAGTAAGGTCTCGGGTTGGGAGACTCACCCACTATTGTCAGGTATGCGACCTGGGTCGACTAACGGGTTAGTCGGGTAAATTTTCGGATACTGTGACTGGCTACCAAAAAAAAAAAAATTTGTTCAATAGTTTATTATCATGGGCCTTAAATTATCAACTCTTAACTAACTTTTGAGTTATCGGTTAATTTATGAAATATCAGCTTCTTTTTTTTAGCTAAATTTATCAAATATAGTGCTCTAAGACCATCTATAGCCCTCTGCCCTACTCTAGAACAGAGCAGAGACACGACCAAAATTCAACTTTCATCTCCAGCCCTTCGCACTGCATTTTACTCTGCATCCAATATATTATTTTTTATTCATTTTATTTTAAATAAATTGGTGTATATATATATACATTTAATCTTGTATAAATATTTATTACATAAATAGTAAAAATACGTTTATGTATAATAACACGAGACTGCTTCAGTGAATAAAAATAACACTTTTGGTTCTTTTATTGAATTAAAAATTACAAAATAAAATTATATTACATCAATAAATAGAAAGCACAAAATTATTTAGCATAAAAAATACATTGCAGAAGTTATTTAGCATAAAAAAACATTCACTAATACACATTATACAAAATTTTATTATTAATATTACATTAAAAGGCATAAAAAGCTAAAAAGAAAAAAAAAAGGTACCGTTGCTACAGTGTTGCGCCAGATGTGGCGCAACAATGTTGAAAACTCTACTCCAACGCAAGATTGTAGCGCAAGGCTGGAGGGACTTTTTGCGCCCATTGTACCGCATCTCTGTAGAGATAGAGCAGGGCTGGACATGCTCTAAGATATTCTATTTTCGCTTATTTTTTAGGTCTATTATCTTGAGGGGCCAACACGGGGATCATTTTCGAAGGCCAGGAGATTGACGTTCCTGTGATGCGGCTCTCCGACTATCCGCCGATGTCTTTGAGAGTCAGATGTGAGATGTTTTCTACAAATATGTCTAGCCGTTCGTGTGAATTTGAAGTTTTTAGGTTTGTTGGGTTCAAAATTGATGCTCTTTCGTCGTCTGGGGCTAGTTGACCTACAGTTGCTTTTGAGTTACTGATGGTAGCCTTTTGGAGGACAACTGCTAGTGGCTTAAGACATGGTTTTACTGGTGGTTCAGTTTAACTAGAGGAGAGTTCATACTGTATAGCATTTTTTTTTTCTTGGGTACGTTATTCTCCAATGTGGAGTATTTTAGTATTTTTAATTTCGTTTTTGTATTTGCGTTTGTGTTGTCGACTTGCTAGGGTACCTTATGCTAGACCTCCTTCTAGATTCAACTAGAAAACCGATGGATTTGGCTGCTTTTGGTTGTTCTAGTCTGTAAATATTTGTGTTATTAATATAAAGTCTATCTTTTTTTAATAAAAAAAAAAAAACAAAAAAGATTTCATCTTAGAAGTCTAAAGTCGGGTGAAAATTTTCATTTGTATAAGGCTGTTTCCACTCTATAGAATGAATCGTGGGAATAAATGTTCAACTCAAAGGTATACATCACGCATGACCTCTTTTTTTTTCATCAAAAGGCCAACAAAAGGAAACATATGAAACTAACATGCGACTATGGCAAAGGGATGTCAAATTGACAAGAAGCCCCAAAGGGCAAAAAGGGGTTAGAACTTAATATGCATTACGGTTTAACATGCATGGAACCAAATTTCAAAGTAATCAACTATTTTCAAGGTTTAATAATACAATCTCCAGATAGGACAAATCAGGGGCGAAGCCAGCCTCAAATTTCACCGGGGTCGGCAATATTTTTTAGCGGGGTCATTAACCTAGTAAACAGTGTTTGAACAGTATTTTATACTAAGAATTTTGAAATCTATAGGGGTCAGCTGACCCCTACATTAACATGTAGCTTCGCCCCTGGGACAAATCCTCCGCACTTGGTCAAAACTAAGGTTATCAAAATCGGACCGGACCGGCCAATTCGACCGGTTCAACCGGGAACCGGCCAGCACACCGGTCATATAGTAAGTAGTTTTAGTTATTATGTAAGCTTACAAAGAATTGAATGTAAAATTCTTTTAAAGGAACCATATAAAAATCCATCGTAAAAGTAAAGTAAAAAA